GGGGGGGGGGGGCTTCTTCAGTTTATTGATGACCATCTGCATCTGTATAATGTGATTATTATCAGTATTTTTGATTATCTGCAGATTTATATCTGCTTTAATAAAAACAAGTGTAGATGTGTCCAGCTGTGGGGTTTTGGAGAGGTCTGCATCAGCATATGTGGATAAGAACAGGACGTGTGTTTGGATATAACTCAGTTTTCTGAGCACACTTCATTATTATTGCTTATTTATCCCTCTGCTGGAGATCAGAACTGAATCTAGAAATAGTTCAGACACAAATCTCTGCTCTTAACAAAGGAGATTAAACATGTGAGCTGATGGATGTGTTCAGTGAAGTGAGTTACCACCGTTCCCTCACTCCACCAAAGTAAAGGAGTAAAGTAAAGGAGTAAAGTAAAAGAGGCTGAATGGAGGAGGCTCGTTCTTTATCCTCGTGCTGCAGATGCTCTGTTTAACTGTGTTCTGTCTAGTAAAGCTTTAGTTTTTACACTTATAAAGTCGCCACGTAAATAGCAAACGCACCATGGAGCGACACAACTGACTCTTAAAAGGAATGAGAGACGAGACTCTGATTGGTTTAATGCAGGTTATGCTCAAAACACACCCAGAACTCATAAGAGAAAAAGCACAGCCCTGTTAGACCATGCACCAGGCGCAGAGCGGATTTCTCCATCCTTACAATAAAAGTGGATTCAGACACGCCCTTAATGCTTTTGCGCCATGAGCTTTAGACTTTGCACCTAGATTGTTAAAAACTAGAGCCCCTAGTGTTATAAGGCTGTCTGTGGTCATCAATTCGGTGCACGTTCATGGCAGGAAGGGACTTGAATTTTCAATGCTATTAAGCTAACGTTAGCATTATTCTAGATCACCTACTGCACCTTTAAGTAAACATCCCTGTTCTGTAATTTGTTAGCAGTCGGCACAGAGGAAAACAATTAACTTAGCTTTCTTCACAACAGCTACCTCATACATCTCTTGAATAGGGCTTTGAGTTTGAGAAAAGCAAATCACTAATTAAACGCAGCTGATGTGAGCTGAAGAGATCTGATTGCTGTGGTTTTATGCTAGCCTGTTGTCTTGATTTTAGTTGTGTTCTTATTTTGTTTGCTTGCGTTGAGTTTAATAGAGACAAATGAAGAATCGAATGCATCTGACCTGCTCCCAGGCGGTGACGGTGCCTCCGGTGAAGACGAAGACGAAGGCGATGATGAAGAGGAGGAACCAGATGACCAGCGCCAGCTGCGTTTCTCCACGCCGGAAAACAGGCAGACACGGCAAACACAGCAGCAGAGACATGCACACACACACCGACACACACACCACCGCAAACGCTGCAACGTGGACCACCAGACTCTGCAGGACAGATGAGGAAAACACACACACACACTTTACACACCTGCTGGAAAACATTCAATTCAGGCTTAATTGTGCAGTGCTTTTCACAATAAGAAAACACAGCAGAAAACACAGCTGAGGTCAGAATTATTCGCCTCTCTTAGTCTTAGCGGGGGGTCAATTAAAAAACCCTCTCTAATATTTTGAATTTGGCCCGCAATACCAGGTATAACCACTAGATGCCAATCCTACACACTGCACCTTTAACAGAGAGCTCTTATTCTGTGTTCACACTAGACGCGGATAAACACGTGGATAAACCGTGATATTCGCGTGTAAATAGCCACGTGAACATCTGAGTTTACTCGCTTTATTCGACCGTCAAATCCGGCAGAGCTTCTGTCTGCCCAGTGACTCTAGCTTCGTTGCTAAATGGCTAGCATGTATTTTATTAGGAAAATAACAGTGTTTATGTGCTTTAGGAAGGCTGAAAAACTGCGTTGATTCATTTGGAGCAGTGTCTGAGTACACTAGATCCTTTCAGAGGTGCATCCAGCTCTGTGAGCTCATGAACTCCTCCAGAAACTGAACCTGGATGACGGAGGCTTTCAACGGTGCTTCTGACTGAGCCAAGCCCAGTTTGATGAACTGTTGTCGGTGTCGGCTGGAGGATTCCCCCGGGACACCATGAACAGGTTCTACGTCACAATCACGCCCCTCGCCAGAGCAAGCTCCTGATTGGTTAACGCGGCGAGAATGTCCGCTTAAGTTCAGATTTTTTAAGTCGAGTGATGCACGCGAAACGCGAATTAAGCACGTCAAATACGCAAACCGCTCAATTCGTGCCACGCCATTTGCACCGCGTCATTCGCACAATTAACGTCTCGCGTATCGCTCCACAGGATGTCTATTCGCACGTTTGCATTGACTTAACATGTAAATCACTCGCGCTTGACGTTCCTTCCGCGTCTGGTGTGAACACAGCATTACTCTGCTGATGGTAAAAAAACATGCTAATAACTACTTGTTTACCTGAAAAACAATGCTGAAGTCAGTTACTCTGCTTTGCTTTGATCTGTAACTCCACCCACTATCAGTTTACCCAATTATATTTCAGCTCCCGGGGTTGCCAGGTGGTAAAAAACAGCATATATCAATGTATGCAGATGCATCTGAAAATCCACGCTCTAGAGGACAGCAGCAGTCTCCGAAATGAGACGCAGATTCAGAGTTATTAAAATACACAAATGGGTTTTTTTTTATTCGCAAACAATTTGAATATTATAAATGTAGACATTAGCTGATCAGCTTACAGTGTGAGGCTTGATCGTCAGGTATACACACTTCTGTCTAACCAACCTGCATTTGTATTAAGTCTGAGAGAGCTCCAGTGTAATAAACCCTTTGCAATATTTTTAATTTTGACGGCAATACCTGACTTAACCACTAGATGTCAACACAGTGCAACATTAACAGTGATGTCTTACCCTGCCGGTGGCGGGGATGATAATAATCATGGTGACGCAGAAGAGAAGAGTTAACAGCAGTCCAGACAACATGAGCGGTGTTTCCTCCAGACAGCGCAGAGTCGCCACTGATCCGGCCCGAATGCAGGAGCACAAGGCCTGACCGGTGCTGCGGCGCGACGACAAGGACTGACGATCATCCACTGGAGACACCAGAGCACTGCGGGACGTCCCAGACGACTCCGATATACCCGTCAGACTGAGCCTCCTGACGCTGTGGTCAGACTCCGATGGAGATCTGGGACAAGGGTGTTATTAGCCTTTATTTCAATGCTATTTTATTATATTTTATTTATTATATTCAATAATATTTTTGATGTACATTTAGGTTTATTTTTAGATTGTTTTGTAAGTTTTGTTAGTTTAGTCTACGTTTAGTTTTTATTTTGATACTATTTTTAAATTTGCTGTACATTTACATTTAGTTTTACTTTGTTTCATTAGTTTTAGTTTAGTTTATGTTTAGTTTTTATTTCGATACTATTTTTACATTGGATCTACCTTTACGTTTATTTTTAATTCACTTTGTTGGTTTTCGCTTGGTTTATATTTAGTTTTTAATTCGATACTGTTTTTAAATTGGGTACACATTTCAGTTTTACTTTAGTTAGATTCATTAGTTTTAGCTTAGTTGGCGTTTAGTTTATATTTCAATAATATTTTTAAATTTGAAGTACATTTATGTTTATTTTTCAGTTTATTTTGTTAGTGTTAGTTTAGTTTATGATTAGTTTTTTTTCGGTACTATTTTTAAATTTGATCTATATTTACGTTTAGTTTTTATTTCCATACGACTTTTAAATTTGATGTGTTTTGATGTTTTTTTTTTCGGTACTATTTTTAAAAATGAAGTACATTTACATTTATTTTTAGTTTAGTTTTGTTAGTTTTAGTTAAGTTTACGTTTAGTTTTTATTTCAGTACTGTTGATAAATTTGAAGTGTATTTACATTTATTTTTTGTTCGTTATATTAGTTTCAGTTAAGTTCATGTTTAGTTTTTATTTCGGTAATATTTTTTTAATTTGATGTACATTTAAGTTTATTTTTAGTTTGTTTCATAAATTTTTGCTTAGTTTATGTTTAGTTGTTATTTTAATACAATTTTAAATATAAAGTACATTTGCATTTTTTTATTATTTGTTTTATTATGTGCCATTCACACGGGGCGTCAGCATCGACACTTCCTATTCACTTTGAATGGGTGACGTCATGGTTGCCGAACTGCATTGTGGATCCGTGGGCGCCGCTTCAGAGGCGTTGCTCGCTGCAGAAGTTGGGACTAGCTCAACTTTTCAAGCGCCGACGGAAGCGTCAGCCAATCAGATCGCTTTACGCAAATACACCAGCTAGACAGTGGCCTAATGCTGACTGAATTTCATTGGCTGACGCTTCTATGATGATCGCTTCAGCCCCAACTTCAGACACGCCTTCAGTCAAGCGTTGGCGCTGAAGCCTCGTGTAAGTTTAGTTTTTATTTTGATACCATTTTTAAACTTGATTTACATTTACATTTCCTTTTCATTTTAATAATGTTTTTAAATTTGATGTACATTTCACTTTGGTTTTAGTTCATATCGATACTATTTTAAATTTGATCGTCATTTGTTTATTTTTGTAGTTCATTTCGTTAGTTTTAGTTTAGTTTACATTTAGCTTTTATTTCAATACTATTTTTAAATTTGAAGCACAGTTACGTTTATTTTTTGTTTTTTTCCAGTTTTAGTTTATTTTACATTTATTTTTTTAAATACTATTTTTAAATTTAATGTATATTTACGTTTATTTTGTTTTATTAGTTTTAGTTTAGTTAATGCTTAGTTTATATTTCTGTACTATTTTTAAATTTGATCTACATTTACGCTTAGTTTTTATTTCAATAATATTTTAAAATTTGATGTACATTTATATTTTGCTTTTATTTCAGTACTATTTTTAAATTTGAAGTACGTTTACATTCATTTTTAGTTTGTTTCGTTAGTTTTGGTTTGGTTTATGTTAAGTTTACATTGTGTTTTTTTTTCAATACAATATTTAAATTTTAAGTACATGTATGTTTATTTTTATTTAGTTTTGTAAGTTTTAGTTTAGTTTTATTTCGATGCTAGTTTTAAATTGGATGTACATCAGTTTATCACATAAATAGTGTCAAAACTAACTGTTTTTCCCGCATGCGATAAATCGTGATTAATTTGTGTTCATTTTTCGGTGACAGTTTTTAGTTTCATTTAATTTTAGTTTTTCATTTATAGTAAATTCAGTTAACAAAAATATTTTTGACAAATAGTTTTAGCCTTTGCTGACTAAAATAAAGTTGTAATTACCCGGCCTGGTCCTCCTCATCTGGACTGGAAACACTGGTGCTGATGAAGCCATTCTCATCCCTCGAAACCCTGTGTGCTTTCTGGGGTTCGGTTGCGTTCTGCACCTTCGCCACACCGAGCTCCACATACACCTTTGTGTTGTCCAGCATCACGACCAGTGTAACGAGCTACTCCAATTAAATCACTGACCCACAGGAAAAATTTAAGTTTATTAATAGCTCAATAACAGTTAGTTAGCTATTATGCAAACATCCCTTTTTTGTGTCAGCAGTGTGTGTATATCTCCAGCCTGTGATGATGAACATGAATTAATTGTGTTTTATGTAATCAGACTTGATGCAGAAACACTTTGATTGACATTCTACTTTTGCACGTGTCATCAGAGGGGGAAAGCCCCGCCCACTAGTGCCCACCTCTTCATCTCATTAGCATAAACAGCAGCCCTGAGTGAGAAGAGCGGCATATCATAACAGAAACTTACGACTGACGGTGGTCTGATATACACTGGATGTGAAGAGATGATCAGTGGTTTATATCCCTCAGGGTTTGTGGATCTCCTTCACTCCTCCGGCCAAAGCACTGCAGATTCACTGACCGTCTGCCCTCGGAGAAAACACCATATGAGAGCATTAGTTCACCTCCAGATTGAAGATTAACCCCTGTGCACTGTTCAGATTGACTTCTCTTTGGTGACTTTGGTGCTTTTTTTGCCCCATTGACCTCCATTATAATCACATTTATTGATTGGAAAGCTATTTCCTCCCTTGCCATTTACTATAACCCTCTTCACTCCTACATGTAGGTTGAATCGGGGGGTCCAATCACTACTCTCAGACTCAGGGCATTGTCAGATGTCTGATCAACCTACCCATCTGTTAACCAGTCATCCTCTCACTCCCCTTCCCCTTCATCCCACTGTTCTCTCACCATCACTTTCATCCCTACAGTAGAGTCTAGCTCAAAGTGTGCAGGTGAACGCAGAAATAAACTGAGGAAAAATACAAACATGATGCACAAAATACAGAAAGCTGCTCATTTACAGATATTACCAGTGTAAATAACCATATCAGGAATATATATATCGTTATTATATTACTGGAATAAACTGCTCATATCATCAAACTACATGTGTTTAATCCTCATTTGTAGGTCACGTTGAACAAACACACACACACCTTCTGCTAAATGAATAAATGTGAATAGAGCTGTGTTCGCCTGTGTAATGGAAACGTGTGTGCCGTAGTTTTGCGTCAGTAGTAATAGCAGTGGCGTCAGGCTGTGGACAGGACAGGTTTGGACGATGCGTACACAACACATGCACAAAGGCAAACATGTCATTTCACTGCGCAAAAATGTTGACAGACTCGCCTGCATTTCTGCTGTACAGGAGCCTGAAAACACTGCAGCCGCTTTGAATAAAGGAGTTTGCTGAATGTGTAATACATGTAAATAATGTGGCAGTAAAAACAGCAGCAGTGCGAGGACGTGAGAGGAACATGAGATGCAAATGCTCACACACACACACACATATGTATAAACACATACATATACACACATATATACACTCCCTTGCCACTTTATTAGGTACACCTTACTAGAAACCCTTTCACCTTCAGATCTGCCTTAATCCTTAATGTCAGAGATTCAACAAGCTACTGGAAATATTCCTCAGAGATTTTGCTCCATATTGTCATGATAGCATCACACAGTTGCTGCAGATTTGTCGGCTGCTCATCCATGATGCCAATCTCCCGTTCCACCACATCCCAAAGCTGCTCTATTGGATTGAGCTCTGGTGACTGTGGAGGCCATTTGAGTACAGTGAACTCATCGTCATGTTCAAGAAACCAGTCTGAGATGATTGAGCTTCATGACATGCTGCGTTATCTTGCTGGAAGTAGCCATCAGAAGATGGAGACACTGTGCTCATAAAGGGATGGACATGGTCAGCAGCAATACTCAGGTAGGCTGTGGCGTTGATGCTCAATTGGTACTAATGGACCCAAAGAAAATCTCCCCCACACCATTACACCACCACCACCAGCCTGAACCGCTGATACAAGGCAGGATGATCCATGCTTTCATGTTGTTGAGGTCAAATTGTGAGCCGAGCATCTGAATGTGTGAGCAGAAATGGAGACTCATCAGAGCAGCAACGTTTCTCCAATCTTCTATTGTCCAGTTTTGGTGAGTCTGTGTGAATTGTAGCCTCAGTTTCCTGTTCTTAGCTGACAGGAGCGGCACCCGGTGTGCTCTTCTGCTGCTGTAGCCCATCCGCCTCAAGGTTGGAGGTGTTGTGTGTTCAGAGATGCTCTTCTGCAGAGCTCGGTTGTATCGAGTGCTTATTTGAGTTACTGTTGCCTTTCTATCAGCTGGAACCAGTCTGGCCATTCTCCTCTGACCTCTGGCCTCATCAACAAGGCATTTGCGCCCACAGAACTGCCGCTCACTGGATATTTCCTCTTTGTCGGAGCATTCTCTGTAAACCCTAGAGATGGTTATGCATGAAAATCCCAGTAGATCAGCAGTTTCTGAAATACTCAGCGCAGCCCGTCTGGCAGCAACAACCATGCCACGTTCAAAGTCTCTTAAATCCCCTTTCTTCCCCATTCTGATGCTCGCTTTGAACAGCAGCAGATTGTCTTGACCATGTCTACACGCCTAAATGCAGTGAGCTGCTGCCATGTGATTGGCTGATTAGACATTTGCGTTAACAAGCAGTTGGACAGGTGTACCTAATAAAGTGGCCAGTAGTGTACACACACACACACACACACACACACACACACACACGAAATACACACACACACATACACACCCACGTGTATATATATATATATATATATATATATATATATATATATATATATATACACACACACACACAAACGGAGACACACTAATAAACAAACACACTCAAACACACATGCAAATCGACAAATTTCCCTAAAGTACAGTATTCAACTGTTAACAAACACTTCATCTTCTGCTTTAAAACTCTTAACTTAAACCCAGCTCAACACACACACACACACACACATGCAAGCACAAACATACACATAAATACACAAACACATACACACACACATGCAAGCACAAACACACACATAAATACACACGCGCGCACGCGCGCTCACACACACACACACACACACACACACACACACACAAAGAAAATGA